ATTTAATGTTTCACATTTGTATTTTTAAGATTACTTTAGGAAACTGTAGCCTTTTCAAATCAAGAATAGTATCTTAGCTGGGTGTGGTGGTACACTCCTATAATCCCAGCAAATCAGGAGGCTGAGGCATAAGGGTCACAAGTTGAAGGCCAGCCTCGGCAATTTAGAAAAGCCCTAAGCAACTTAGTAAGGTCCTGTCTCAAAAGTAAAAAATAAAAAAAGCTTAGGGTATAGCTCAATGGTAAAGTGTCCCTGAGTTCAAATCCCAGTTATCCCACCAAAAAACAAAAAACAAAAAACAAAAAAATAGAATAGATTCTTTTCATCAGATTTGTGGCATATGCCTATAATCCCCAGCATATGGAAGCTGAGGTGGGGATTGCCAATTCAAGGTTTAATTTAGAAATTTAGTGAGGCCGTAAGTAACTTAGCAAAATCCTGTCTCAAAAATAAAAAATAAGGGCCAGGTGTGGTGGCACACACCTATAATCCCAGTGTCTTGGGAGGCTGAGGCAGGAGGATCATGAGTTCAAAGCCAATTTCAGCAACTTAGGCCCTAAGCAACTCAGCAATACACTGTTTCTAAATAAAAAATAAAAAGGGCTAGGGATGTGGCTCAGTGGTTAAGTAACCCTGGGTTCAATCCCCAGTACCAAAAAAAAAAAAAAAATTAAAACATAAAATAAAAGTAAAAAAAGGACTGGGGACGTAGCTCAGTGGTAGAACTCCCCTGGGTTCAATCCCCAGTACCAAAAAAAAAAAAAAAAAAAATAGTAGTGTCTTCTCTACATTCCTTACAAGACCAAACATAGACTGATGCACAACAAATATTTAACTGATATTCCCAACATTGTATGATCATTTTTACCAGGACCCTAGCCTTCTGTTTACACTTATTTTGTTCTCCCACCTCCCTTTTCAATAACTACCTTCAAACTCTTCATACCCAAGCTATCATAAATATAATGATATCAATGATTATGCTGTAAGAATCAAGTACAGTGTGGGATTTGGTTCATGCCCTAACCTTCAGGAGAACCTCTCCTTCTAGGACTCATAATTTCAACTCTCCTATTCCATAACTACAAGAAGCTATGTGAACATCATCTCAGGAAACATTTCCTTACTGTTTTGAGGATAGTTGGATTTCTTCTCATCATTCAGAACTAAATACAGAAATCATTTTGTTTCAATTTTACAACTAGTTCTTTAAAAGTATTTTAAACTGATATTTCTATTTGACTTGACTCTATTTTCTTTACTCCTAAAATAAATGCCACATGAATACCTTCATATTTACTCTCTGGCAGACCTAGATCAATTTAGGGGAAACTCCAACAAATAAATTCTACCTCTTCAAGGCCCTCCTTTTGTATCATGTTCTCCTACCTCACAACATTCCACCCACACTTCTCTCTTTACAGAACTAAGGCCTTTTTCAGACTCAGTCTTTCCCATCTAATAGTTTCTGCTGGGAATGTGTTTCCCTGTACTTTATAACTAACCCCTCAATTTCAGGTCCACTTAAATGCCATTTTCTTGAGAAGCTACTCTCCATATTCCCAATCTACATGGTATCCCCTCTCTTTTGACTACTTACTGTGCTTTTTATTTTCCATTTAAGGAACTTACCACAGCCTGAAATCATGTTTATTTTTGTGACTATTTCATTAACTGCTTATCTCCACCAGGAATATAAATTTATGAGGTCTAGGACCACATCATAAAGACAAACATGCTGACTTCTACACCTTCCATCTTCTCAGTGGTGTTCTGGGGAGGTACCAAGCATTTGCCTGTTATCTACAGACAAACTGAATTCAGAGGGCTCTGCGTATCCTCAAATACCTCTGTCCACTGTGCTGCATGGAGCCCCAGTCTGTTCCATGTCCTACTCTGTTAGCTCAACAACATTTAAGGGAAGAGTTGATGCAACTGACCCCTGTTTTGCCACATGGATTTTAAGCACCTCATAATCCACTGAAAAATGGTCATGGTGTTGCAAACTCTACTTCAAACTGATATGATTAAACCTGCTGGATGAATGTATGTTCTTGTCTTTTTCATTAGACATATGCTTTCTGAGAAAAAGCCCAAAGGGGTCAAAGGTGGATGGCTCATGTTTTCTTCTCTACTTACACATACACCTAAAACACACAACCAAACTGTACTTTATGGCTAACCTAGGTCTTTGTAACCTAAAGAAAAATACAATGAGCAAGAGGAGGCATCAGTAGGAAGGCACATAACCGTCTAAAGTGAACAACTTACATGTTCACAACATTATAAACCATGGGAAAGAACTGCCAAAGTTACTTCAGTCTTGGAATAATACCAAATATCTTTAGGTTCTCCCCAAATAGGTCAACTTTCAGACATTAGCTGTGAGTAAAACACAATAGGAGCCAATAGTCTAGTAATTAATTCTCTTCCCTGACCTCAATCACCAGAAAGGCAATCTGGTCTTAGAGGATCAGGAAATTATATTCTCTTCTTGGTCTGGCTTTCAACTGTCCATCTCAGCACAATCTCAGCTATAAAATGAGCACACCAGCACTAAAGTACTGTAGTTCTATACTATTATATGATACAGGAGTGGGATCAAAAACTATGGAGATTGTGGGCTTGGATATAGCTCAGTTGGTAGAGTGCTTGCCTTGCATGCACAAGGCCCTGGGTTCAATCCCCAGAACCACGGAAAAAAAAAAAAAACTATGGAAGTTGTAGAGCTGCTAAACTCTATATCATTCAGAACAACTCTAACATTCTCTTTTCAATGCTCTATGACAAATTTAAGTAAGATGTTGTGAATTTGACATATAAACAGAGAAGGTAGGTAAGAATGGTGATCCAGAAGCCATTAGATATAAGGTATGAGTGAGAGAGGCAAACATATTTAGTTTGGAAAAGAGTATCTGATCATCTTTTAAATACCAAGAGACGAATATCACAAGGATGACTTGGTCTGTTCCTCTTCATAAAACTGCACCAACCGATGGGTAAAGACTGCAGGCAAGCATGTGACACAATAGATGAAAAATATTTAATTAGGTCTACAGATGTATTGACTTCCTCTGAAATAAATTGCCTCCTTTGTCACTGAATGTCTCAGAAGCTAACTTAGCAATTTCATGGGCCATTTTAGAGAGGGAATCAACAAACTTTTTTCTGTAAAGAGATCTAAGGACCATGTGTATCCTTTAAAGAATGTAAAAACCAAGTGGGGTGCAGTGACATAAGGCTTATAATACTAGCAACTGGGGAGGCTCAAATGTGTGATCTGTTGCCTTTCTTCAGTTAAACTCTAATTTGAGTTTGAGGCCAGCCTGGGAAATATAGTGAGACTGTGTCTTAAATCAAAAAAAAAGGTCTAGGGATGTGGCTTAGTTCATAATGCCCTATGTTCAATCCCTAATATTACCAAATTAATTAATTAATTAATTAATTAATTAATTAATTAATCAATCCTTATTTCACAGGCCATACAAAACAGGTAGTTATTTATCCTTGTTCTAGAGGAAGCTGTTTAAAAGAAATATGAATCACATATGTAATTTTAAATTTTTCAGAATCTATACTTAGAGATAAAAAGAAATGGGCAAAGCTAATTTTAATGTTTTAATCCAATATATCAAAAATTATGTTAACACATAAACAAAATTAGTAATGAGATCTTTTACATTTTAAAAAACAAAATGTTTGAAGTCTGTTGTGTATATATATGTATTTTTAAATATTTATTTTTTAGTTATAGGTGGACACAACGTCTTTATTTTATTTTTATGTAGTGCTGAGGATTGAGCCCAGTGCTTCACGATGCTAGGTGAACACTCTACCTCTGAGCCACAACCCCAGCCCCACATTGTACATTTTATGACTTATACCATATCTCAATTCAAACAGGCACATTTCAAGTGCTCATTAGCTATGTGTGGCTATTATATTGGACCAAGCTGTTCCAAAGAAACTTGGGCTTACCATTAGGACACAAAACAGGTTATCTTCATTTTTTATTTTTATTTTTTTGTGGGATTGGGGATCTAACCCAGGACCTCACACGTTAGGCAAGCTGTCTATCATAAGCTACATTCCCAGCCCTTTTATTTTTCACTTTATTTGAAACCAAGTATCACTAAGTAGCCCAGGCTCTTATTCAGTTAAGCTCTAATTTGATTCCTGTACAAGGTATAGAAAGGAGAGTATTTTGATGCCACCTTCTTGTGGTGAGTAATGTTATATGATAATACAAACAAAAAGCCACATTTTAGAAATGAAAGGTATCACTCAAACAGATCTACAGAACACAACCCAGAAGAAAACTTTCTCTTTAACTCCAAGTACTCTTCTTTATAAATGTAAGAGCATGCTCAGAGTGACTATCACCAAAAGAGTTCCCTAATTTCTGCAGAAATTATAAACCATGAACAGACAAAGCAATGTATTTTCATCCCTCATCAATTATCAAAAGAGCCTACCCCAAACAAGGGAAGAAAGATCATATGAAGAATCTTTTGCTAGTTCATCTTCCACCCATAGAACAGGCTAAGTCACTTAAGATAGAGACATGAATAAAGATAATTTCATTCAACACCATTCTTCAGCCACTAGGTTTTCAAGTTTGGAGTTTATAAGATTTATAAAACCATAGGACTGTGAGACACACAAAAAATTTGATCTTAACAATCTTTTCCTCTATCATTGCTGATATTACTCAAAATCCTAAATCTTTACTATGAGAATAATGAAAAGTTAGCAGAAAGTTCATTCACAACAGATTCACAGAATCTCACTTTCAATAAAATAGGGCCATGAAACAATCAGTGTACTCCTGGGGGAAGAGTTTTCAAGTGGGAGACACAAAAAGATAACCGATGTTAAAATGTTTTCCTAATTAGGGAAAAAAAAAAAAAGGCTATTTCAAGAGGTAAAAGGCTGCCTTACCCTAAACTAGCAGACACCCTCTGTAAGAGGCTGACAGTGGGGACATTTAAGTGCATTACCTTTAGGAGGAAAATATGACTTGCTTTCTGCTTTGTGAGGCCAGTCTACCACGAGAGGTCCAAACCTGCGAAAACTGGCAGTGATCTCATCTACAAAATAAAGAAGGAATGTTAGCAAAAGAGAGGAAAAAAAAAAAAAAAGAATTACAATCAGAGTAGCCCCAAACACGTCTTTTTATTTAAAAAAAAAAAAAAACAAGTTTTGAGAGTTACTTTCTAAAGCATTTTTAAAGAAGTCAAACCTACTAAGTGAAATACCACTGCTTGAGTAAATATTTGATTATTCATTTTTTACCATGTAAAGTGTGTTTCTAACCATAATTCACTACCTTCTACTGCCAAAAAATTTGATATAAAGAACTCAAAAGGAAAAAATCCAGTATTAGCTAAGGTAACTCTTCTGTCAAGTAAAAAGAAGAATCTAAAAATAGGAATGTTTTTTGTTTTTAGAAAAAAGGCAAAGGTACAGAAAATATTTAATATATACTTTCACTTGTATGGATTCTCTAGTATTATATTAGAAATAAATATGAATCTTTTGATGAATAAGTAGGGCAATAAGTAGGTAACTATTTGGTAATAAGAAAATGTTAAAAGCCATTTAAGATTTCTTTTTTTTTCCTCTAATACATGCATACTACATATTTTATTTTATTTTTAAAAATTTTTTAATTGATTTTTTAAAATAAATGACAGCAGAATGAATTGCATTTGTTTTTACACATATAGAGCATAATTTTTCATATCTCTGATTGTTTATAAAATATGTTCAAGCTCAAGTTTATCTTCTTCTTCTGATATTTGACTCAGAGCAGAAGGTTATAACCTGGTTCCTCCTAAGGTTTAGGTTGCCAATTTCTTAGTCATGATAAAAATTTATCTTAAAGGAAATCTAACTGACAGATGCTATTAACACAGATGTGAAAACATTTTGGAGGAAAATGAGTCTCTAGATCTGTACAACTTTAATGCAGTAAGTCTAAAATAAAACTATTTTTAGAGATTTTTCTCTAATTATGAAAAAAAGGAAATCGTGATAAATTACAGAAGAATCATAGCTAGAATAATGCTTGCAAAACAAATCTGTTTTAATAAGTCCTTTATAACAGAGCTGAAGCCTATTGGAACTAGAGTTGTTTTTCTCCTTTAAGTTAGCTATGTCATAATTTCATTTCATTTGTAATTTAACAAACATTTATTTACAACTATTATGTGATAAAATAAATATTTTCACTGGTTTAGGCATAAATGAAAAATTATTTTTCTTTTGAGCTGGTAGTATCTCAAAACTATTGTTAAGAAAAATGCTAATCTGTCTTCACTCTTATAAAAGGTAAAGGGAAATATGCTTTTCATTAATTTATATACACATATATATATATTAAAATATGATGGTATGATGGACAGGAACAAAAGCTCCTTACTCAGACTTATTTTAAGTTTTAACCACACCCTTTTAACTACACCTACATAATCCTGGACAAATTATTTCTCTTGGATTCTCAGTTTTCTCATCTATAAAATGGATATAAGATATATTTACTAATGAAATACTCAGAACAATGATGGACTTAAAGTAGGAGTGTCATAAGTACTGATTCTCATTATTAATTTAATATATAGCCCAAATTACTAAGTAGGAAGTGGAAGCTGTTGGGGGATGGCTGCACTGCCACATATGAACAACAGACCCTGAGGTATGTAATCTATTACTTCCTCATTTATCAAACATTCTCACCTCCAACACATTTAAGATACAAATGACCAAAAACTAACCTGAAGAAAAGAGTAAGGGTCAGATGACATAACTCAGCCTTTATAAAGTCTGTACACAACGTACCTTCATCAATATCAGGGGGAAGGCCTCCAACAAACACCTTCCTGGAGTAGCGTTCCACTCGTTCCCCATTTTGACATCGAGTAGGAGAACTTAAGCCAGATGACAAGGCCTGATCACCATGGCTGTCATCCAAAAAGGCGTCTTCAAAGGGAAAGAGAGAAGATCGACCTGAAATCAATGTAGGAGTTTCTATAATTAGAATGATTTTCTACACAATGCTTTCTTACATTGCTTTATTAGAAGCCCAAAGTTCGAGTGTGTCCTGAGCTGTTTGCTTTTCCAATAGAATATACAACTGAAGAGTACCCATGTAGAAAAGTTTAAATCATTATTTTTGTGTAAGGATATAAAGCATGGAGAATACTAGATTGATACTAAGGAAGAAGCATCAAAATTGCAGCTGTTTTCCTTGCTAAAAATTCATTACACTTTACTCCTATGGTCACCATCACAGCTGCTAAGAATGTATTTGGCAGTTATTTTTCTTTTATGCAGTTACTTGTTAAAATAAAAAGAAAATATAATATTTGTTCACAAATTTTTATCTATTTTTGGTAGTGACCTCAGAGGTTATAAAGAGTGGCCTTGATAGCTAAGGGAATATTAAACTGATGATGGAGGCTAATAACTTCTCATCTAATAGCATAACTAAAGATCAAGGTTTCCCTGTCATCCCAAGCTATTTCAATTTGAAAACAAACTTCTGCAATAATATAAGGCAAAGCAATTAAATGAACACATATAAATTAAGATGTGGGAATAAAGATATAAATATGGTAAGGATATCTTAACCCTATTAATCTAAGCTGTATTTTATATCACTCAAAATAAATAGACTACAGAATTATTTTCACTATTAACTCCATAGCCAAGTAAATTTTGTAGAGCCAAGGCATCTACCCACTCCATGTGACTATAAGGAAGATATCAGAAGTTAGGTTCTGTTAATAAGTATAACATAATAATGCCACTTGGCATTACAAAATAAAATCTAAGTTTAAAAACAAATACATTTCCTGTTTGAATCTGTCAGCTCCTGGTGAAACTTTCCATTAGGTTCAAATGGAATGAACTATCTTGAGAACTCTAACCTTTGAAAAAAAGAAAAGAAAAATGTCCTTCTAAAATAAATTCATATTTTTCAAAAAACAAGAAAAAAAATCTCTTCCACATTTAGTGTATCCTGTCTATATCTCCCTGAAACCTAGGTTTTGTACCACAACAGACAACTCGCTATGAAACAGAATATTAACAACCTGAGAAAAATACTAAACATTTCTTTTACAAAAAAAAAAAAAAAGAGTTGCTAATATAACTGTGTTTACTTTATGAACAACCCAAGTGGTGCAAGAAAGGCACTGTTTTCATGTTATGAGTTAATAAATAAAAGGGCCAAATGTGGGGGTACCTATAGAATTTTTTTGTTCAGCTCTTCCCAGTTTAGCTACAAAGAGACAGACTTAGTATCAAATTCATGTCCAGGTCAGCATTTCCTACAGAATGTTTGTATTCCCACCTTTTATTCTCCACACTAGTGACATGAGATGATCATAAGACCAAACTGGGTCAGGAGGAGGTACTAAATAATTTAGGAAAATACTGCATACTTTATTCCCTTCCCAGAGTTTCCAACTCACATTAGAAAATAAAAGGCTTTGAACAGTTCTGCAGTAAAGAAACATTAAACTTCTCCAGCATTACACGAATTTAAGATAAAGGAAGTCCATAAATACAAAACTCAATGGAAAACACTTGAGGAAATATTGATACATGTTCCAAGAGCCCCAAATGAGATACTTCCCTGCCAAAGGAGTAACAGTCTGCTGAGGGAAATAGTCAAGTACAGAATAATTATAAAATAGAGAGAAATATGAAGAGAGGTCACGTAATACTAGAGCACAATTTACTGCTCTCCTGAAGATGAGGGGGGAAGACCAGCAGAGTGATTTCACAGGAGGGCAATTCTCAGCAGAATCTTATGGGGGTAGGAAATTCTGAGGTAAAGAAAAATAATCTACAGAGAAAGGACCTTTAAAAGAGGTCTCAATCTTTCCCTCCAAACTTACTCCTCTTGAGCATCCCCTAAAACTTCAATAAAACTATTACCCAACCCTGACTCAAAAGAGAAGTCTAGGAATTATTCTTGACACACCTCTCCCTCTCTCTCCCCAACCTTCTGGCCCCTCTCATATTCCAAATGTTAAAAATGTCAAACCCATTTTTCAATAAAGCTCCAAAAGAAATCTTCCTTTAGGTCCTTTCCATCCCCAGTACTAATGGCAGATCAACATCATCGCTGTCCTGGACTCCCAGTCTAAGGTACATACACACACAGCCTTGTCACTCCATTAATTTCTCCCTTGTACCCCACAATGTTTTCACCACAAAACAGCCAAAGTCACCATTTTCAAACATTAATTGGATCATGTAATTACACTCCATACTCACATCTTCAAAAGCTGTCAAATGACTCCTCAGTGCTTTTTGGATAAAGGACAAAAACTTCACCGTGAAGGGCAAGGTCTCTGCTTACCTCTTTTGCACTACAGTTGATGCCTCTCCCTCTCACTCACTAGCCTCCAGTCACACAGACCTCCTTTGTATTTCCTGACTGTTCTTCCTTACCACAGGTGCTAAGGACAAGGTGTTCTCTCTAGCCTCTAAACAAAAACTCCTTTCTCAAATACCCAGCTTCCTAGTTAATTCCCACTAATTCTTCAGGTCTCCGCTGAAAAGTCAGTTTCTCAGGTGGAACTTTTCAGAGTCTTTAGATTAGATTAGATACTGTCTTCTATCCATGCGTAGCATCCTATAATTCGGCTTCCTAATACTTCCCCAAATGCCATTCTATATTGTGTGATTTTTATTGAGTATCTCTTTTCCCAACCCCATTAAACTATAAGCTCCATTAAGATAGGGACCAATTTAGAAGAAGATGGCAATCAAGGAAGGACAACACTGTGTAAAAACACGCCACAACAAGTATATGCTCAAAATAATAGAGGGGCGTGAGAATGAAAGAGATGTGACCATGTCCTAGAAAACAGACCTTTCCTATCACTTTTACTTGTTCAAGCATTATGCTCTATACTTTGTATTACAAAAGCAATAGGCAATTTTCCCGCTTTCAAATTCAATATTTCTAGCTGAAATATCAGCCTTTTTTGATTAACACTCACTCCCTGGGAACTATGATATTCCCACTGAGTCCATCTTCTGTCCTGCCAAAATAATTTCTCTGAGATACCTCTGACAGGTTAAATCCCAAATCCTACAAAGATTCTGTCACCTTCATTGGTAATTTGGAACCCCTCTCCAACACAGGGAAGCGGGGGGCGGGTGCAGAGGGATGGATTCTGCAGAAATCTGTGACTGACCATCCATGAGAAATGAGGAAGTCTTGAACGAGAATAGTGAAGGAACAGCAGCAGATGTTCAAGACATTCTTGAACAAAGAAAACCTTTCTCATGACCAACAAACCACAGCTTCCCCAGAGTATTTTGGCAAAGAAAGTAAAAGCAAGAGTTGTAAAACTGTAGTTGTAAAACTGGTTATGGGTAGTTAAGACACTTCCCAAGATTTTATAAACCTCAGTCTTATTTTTAGTATTTAGAGTACTACAAACCTTAGCAATAAAGTTGCCCTTGCAAATGAAACTGATAATAATTAACATATAAATGATGTTTCTCTGTGAATAGGAACAAAGAATATAGGTCTCAGAGCCCAACCCCCGAATCTACTAAACTGAATCTGTGGATATGAGACTTGAAAATCTGCATTTTCACAAATTTCCCCAAAGATTCTTAATGCTCAATTTTAAGAACCAATTGAATGGATTAATATCCAACTGTCTGCAACAGGGCAGTCACTGAATGAGATATTATATGAAGTATATGGGATCTTTCTCAACATCCAAGTTCATTTAAGTTAAGGAAAGCATATTCTCACAATTAGAATGTAAAACGTATAACATAATCAACCTTACTATAACATGACTGCCTGAAGTGCTAGTGGAATAAAAAGTTAAAGCCTACAGAAAGCATTAAAATATAGAAATGAGAGCTAGAGGATATTATAGCTGAGTGGTAGAATACTTGCATAGCATGTAAGAGGCCCCGGAACCATAAAAAATATTTTTTTTCTAAATATGACAACAACAACACAACTGTAGATCACGAATTGATAGTACAAACAAATAGGAGATAGCAGAACTTTACTATAGTGGGTAGGATGATTCCTTTGCAAAACAGAATACTAGTTCATCTGATATTTCCATAGCCTAAAAACCATCTATTTCTCTCTGCTCTAATTATAAGCTTCTGAGAGGCTATTCTGTGAATAAATCTGGCACTTTGCTAGTATAAAAGGGTTACTTTTGAACTAGTGACAAATTTTGCTTCTATATAAATCAATCTCCACAATAAATTGACACATTGGTATTCTGAGTTGTCCAGTGAACCTTGTGAAGCTGGTGTTCACACATTCATTTGGTTGGCACAAAAGCCATCCTCAAGATAAATCATCCCTTGGAAGACTGCTAAAATTCATTCCCAGATAAGTGTTACTAGTAACTGAAACGTTAAGAGGTTACACCTAAATTATGCCCCTAAAGTACTAACTAGTGCTTTTCTGGCATATTTCTTTTCTTTAAAAGAAACATTCCCCAAGACCAAAATGTTTTAAACAAGCCACATTATTTACCCTCCAAATTATATTCTTATGTGCAGAGTATATAAGTTTGCTTTAGAACCTCAAGATATTGCCACAGAAAATATTTATATTCAACAGAAGGAGGAAAAAGACTTCTCAAATGCTGTGACTTGGTCACTGAGCTTTCCACAAATGATCTGTTTCTCTAATATCTATTCTCACTTGCTACCCAGAATGTAATCTTTTATCCAGAAGTTGGACTAACAATCAAAGATAATGACCAATGTTTTCTTTTTTCCCCCCTGTTACTGGGCAACAAACCCAGGTTCTCAGCTCATGCCGGGGCAAGAGCTCTACCACTGATCCACAACCTCAGCCTCTGGACAAATGTTCTTTGAATGTGGTGGTGACTTAAAACTAATAGAGCTTTGGAAGAAAAGTGTTGCATAGAAGACCTACAAAGCACTAGTTAAAGAAAGCCTTGTCCAAGACAATTCTTCCCTAAGAGTCTCCCTTG